GGGGGGGGGGGGGGGGGGGGGGGGGGTTTCGGGTATCGTCAGTGCGCGCCGCGTGGCCGCGGGGTGGGTACCAGTTAATTCGAAACACCCCCGCGCGTACCTTACACTCGTGCTACACTCCTCGTTCGCCGCCGGTGGTTAAAATGCAACCTGCCCTTTACCCCCTACTCCCCGCCGCCGGCTACCAGCCGACCCTCCGAACGCTTCCGCCGCTCCCGACGCGTTCGCTCGTCCGCCGGGTGTATACGCGCTGCAGCACAGGATTCCGAAAAGTGTCTGGAGTATTCGGTCGTTGATCTCGCCTATAAAAGCGAATTTTTTTTCTACTAGGCTCACACCGTGACAGTCACCCTGTGTATTATATTTTGATGTCACGTCAATTCTGTTTTTGCGTACCTGTAAACCGCGCACCCCCTCCGCAAAAAAAAAAATTCGAGAATAACATTATTACAATATTGCGAATATATTATGCAATAATATGCAGTGTACTTGTGCATTTCTTTACGCATTTGTAGCATTTTTTTTTTCTTAGGCATTACGAGACATTGTAAACCGCTTCCTCTATAAAAAGTTTGAATGTACACCTACGTAACAATGAACACTGTTTTAAAACTTTTTTTTTTTTTAAAACAATTTCGATTATCAGGTCCCATTTCTTGTTTTTTTTTTTCATGCATTTTACGGGATTTGTAGCGGATTTGTTTTTGTTTGTTTTTTAATACGATATATTATTGACGATTAATATCAAATGTATAATTTACCTTTATTAATATCGATACGACACAAACTGCCTTATCGGTTTATAACTTCAATGGTCCTGCAAGGCGGATACCTCACCTAATCGCAGCCTTCTCGGCTTTTTCGATAAACCGGCAATTCACCTCAACATTTCCTATTTCTCCGAATGCGAACCACTACAAGGCGAGTTCGGCTCACTTGTATCGCGGCTTAACTCCGACGGAACAGAACTTAACGTTTGCTAATTGCCGACCCATGTCGTTTGCTACGTCTGGCTCTACGTTCACCGACAAATACGCAATAATGGGTTCAGTTATACCGTCCGTTCCTAACGAAAAACGTACGCCTACCCACCGGCCTCAATCATTATCGTTCTCATATTCTCTCGGTGCAAAGCTTCAAACATTTTAGGGTTCCTTAAACGTTCGTTTCTACGTTTTTAATTCGGTGCTGTCGAGCTCCGCTCGTTGTTAGTCAATAAATAAATAACGTGTTCGAACAATCACGGTTTGCTGCCGTTCGGTGATATGGACAGGGGTTTTTTTTTTTTTTTTAACGCAATTGATTCACAGCTCTANTTCGGTGCTGTCGAGCTCCGCTCGTTGTTAGTCAATAAATAAATAATGTGTTCGAACAATCACGGCTTGCTGCCGTTCGGTGATATGGACAGGCGTTTTTTTTTTTTTTAACGCATTTGATTCACAGCTCTAATCGCACGAATAATTATGAAACTGCCGTACGCCGACATTCCGAACACACGGAGAAACAATGCGTGTTAAACTGTCTACGATTTACTCAAAAGCCTAAAAGGATAGTGCGTACGTCATAACATTAAATATACCTTTGTAATATTACGTTGTACAGTACACAATAACATTTTTTTATTATTATTATTATTATTATTATTATTATTATTATTATTATTGTTATTAATATTATTATTGTCCGACAAACCACGACGGGTATTTTTCAATATTCTCGGTACTATTACAACGGTTTATCTAATATATTATTATTTTTATGATTCTAATGCGTACAGATAGGTCGGAGTGTATTATTTTAATATTATTGATAAAAGTCTCGGAAGGAAAATGATTTTATATCGCAGATTTACGATAGTAATTTTTTTTACCGAGAATTCATTATACCATTATTGTGGTTGATTACATACGTAACGTGGAAAATAATTTCTACGCTCGTGCATTATAATTTACAATTTTTTTTTTTTTTTTCTTTCGTTTTAAATTTAATTTTACAATGTACGCGAAATATTATCGAATAAATAGGTTTTCGCGGTCGCATACAAACGTATAATCGACAAAATAATAGTATCATCTAAGTGTATTTAATAACGCTAATAGAACGAATCGTTTTAAATACGATTTAATTTACGAGTACGCACAACATGTGAACCGCCCGGTTACTTTCTTCTTTGTTCCGTATTGTACGCGCATTTATTCGAAAATGTTACCTAATGTACATAAATACACGTAGAAAAGTAAGTACCTGCTATTTTCAATCGAGTTTACGAGGCGACGCGTTTGAATATATGAACATGGATAAAAAAAAAAAAATAAAAAAAAATAAAATAATAAAGTAATATTATTGATAACAGGGGTGTTTTTTTTTTTTTTTTTTTAATAATAACAATTTCAGTTAATTAACGAGACAAAATACTCAAAAACTGTAATTATATTAAAATTAGTATAATGGGGATAGGGGAAATAACATATAGGTATTTAATTATGAATGTTAGAACTAATACGAACATTATTTTAAAATTTTAATTAATTAATTGGAATAATTATTTTCCACGTTATTTTGCGTCTATCAATGTGTCAATTTCACTATTTGTAATTAATTAAATTATCGTCATTATGAGTTTTATTTTAGTTTATTTTCTTTGGGTTTAGGTACACAATAACGGCGGTTAACTTTAAAGTTAAACTCGCGAGTCACTTTATTGATCGCGATTTACTGGGTTATTCATTATTAATTAAGGGTTCGTTATAAACCCAAGTCGATTTAATCTTCTGATTAAAATTCCGATTAAATAGTACGCGGTGTATCAATCCATTTTGTCGTCCTGGTTAACCAGCCGAACGTTTACGATCAAATCAATACATTCTCAAAGCGGCCAAACTGCAAAATGTTTAATTGTTATTGGTACCAATATCATCACCGATTAAATTATTATTTTCGAACATATTGCATTCGCGTAAACCACACTTTGTTCAATAACGACTTTGATTTACAATATTATTTACAACGTTCATGATGACAACTTAAACATTTTACGAATGTTGTTGTAGTATCGACAAGTGTGAACTACCAAAACGGGGCAACGAATAGCCGGGGGGGAAAAAAAAATGCATTATTCAAAAGGCGCGCGTACACGATCGGACAATCCGTTTTATTTGATCAATTCAAATTACGACCAAATAAAGCACCGAGAATTAGTGAAACAACGATGAAATATTAAAAACCGTCTTTAACAATTGACGGGACAGTTCTCTGTTGTTAAAAAACGATTGGAATCTACATCTACGTAGGGGCAGCGGGCTATCGTCCGTTATAAGTTTATCGATTATCGATATTGAAATATCGCTCATTACAGTTATTAATAATTCAAGCTAAGGTTAGGTTACGTTTTTAAGTTTGCATGTGCCGCGTATGCGGATTTGTCAGGTCTCATTTACTTGAATGATTTCAAGTGCAGGTAAGACGGACAGTCAGATGGATCGTGCAAGAGCGTATTTAAAGTAATTATTTATCCATTCGTTTGAAATCGAATAATAAAATAAAAAGTCCAAAACTGTTTTTGTGGACAAATAACTTTCATTGTATATGAAATGCCGAAAATAATTAAAAGAATATAAACCGATGAACGAAAGAAATGTATCCAACGGTTTAGTAACAATGTGCAGAAATTAAGCAATTGTTAACAATAACAGAACGAAATCATTACATTTCAAGGGCGGTCGTTCCAATCAACATAAACGTGGATTTTTAAACGTTTATGTCTGTATGACGGGCCATAAAAATGCATGTCCAAATTGATAATTACTGTCAACGTATTTGCTCACTTCGTAATCTGGGGGGGTGTAGTTAATTTGCTCCGAAATTGACCCTAAGTATATACAACATTTGTAATTCGCACCAACATTTTTTAACTGCGCTTGTAATTTGCACCAAAACTCAAATTCACTATTATTTCGTTAGTATATCTACGTACAAGTTTCGATAATATACATCGAGAAACTAAAGACACGGAGTATTCCGTTTCGATTTTCAGTGGTCATTTCACTTGCCTGTATACACCGTTTTAAGGTACGTCAGTATTGACTTAAAGGATACCTTATAACAATAATACATGACAGATATATATTATACGGTATTATAATAGTTATATTGTTTCGGGCGAATGTATAATTTAGTATTTTTGAGCTACAAACGAAAAGTCGGAAGGACATAGGTTATTATTTGGTCGAAACAATAAATTATGCGATTACGATGGACAATCGAACGTACCAAATTTTTGAAATTATTATCAGATGAGATGGCGGGTATTCAGGAATCCCGAAAATAATATATATATATATGTATTGTATTTTATAATTTTAAGTGAGAAATTGAAATGATATAAAAACGTATAGAAATATTGATAATATCAATCAAATAATGTCTTATAAAACGAGCTCGTTAACACTAATGAATACGTCGTTTAGAAATATAATATTGTAAAGACAGACTTATCGTAAAGAAAACAATAACTTTTGGATTTTTAAAAACAGTAGTATAGGTCGGCTGAAACCGTCTGTTGTACACACTGTGAGCGGAACAAACGCTTGACAATCGAATGCATAGATACCAGATTTCGGTGCAAATTACAAACACCGCGTTCAGCTATCAATCTACGGTGGTTCAAATTGTATGCCTTTATTTCGATGCAAATTACAAACTGCCCAATCGGGATACGGGTTGACACCGGCTTGATTAACTGGTAGTTTATAACCGCTGATGGTTGGCTATCAACCGGTAGTCGATGTAAACAGGATAGCTAGAAATCAGTGTTAACCGTCGGTTAAATCCTAATAGCTGTCAGTTGAAAACATTTTAAAGTGCCCGATTAACGGCTACGAGTGGTGGTTGGAAGCAGCACGCTATTTGTGGCGATACTGGTAGCGTACGGTTTTATTTACGGCGCAGAACGATAGCGCTACGTTTTCGATGGGAAAACGGCCGCAAAGTTCGCTACTTTTCACCAAAACGAAATTGCAAACTTAACGAAATACCACGTAACTTTTAGATACATTATTTTCATGTCAGTCCGTATTCAAATAAAAAGTATACCCAACTAAAGTTTCTTTTTCTCCTATCGGAAACGTCAAATGTAAATGAATTATTGTTACGTTACAGTGTAAGAATTCGTACATTTATAAAATCGACAAAAATAAAAAAGTCCTCATTCGAAGTCGAAAAAAGTAGCGCACTTTTTAAAAAAAATTCGGATTGTATAGCGCCCTACAATTAAAAATAACAACGATGATTGTGGTGAACCGTTTGTTTAGAAATACATTTAAAGTAATGATTTCAAACCACGGAATAAAAGTGCGGTATTCGAAAAATAATATTATTAGGTATGTTTTAGTCTCATCCAGATGAGTGGGAAATAAATTGTCTGAGATTAATTATTAAAAAAAAAAAAAAAAACATTCTTAATTCGCAATCAGACAATTAGACATAATACGTCATACATATTTAATACGATTATTTTATACATAAACGTTTTCAATTTATATTTTATAAATTCGTAATATTGTTTATATACATTCATTATTAAATTATATCCGTTAATCGATTTTTTCGAGCATTTATAATTGGTCCAACAGTTTTATCAACCGGGTACCCATCGAATAAAAACTGCGTAAACAAATTCGCAAAATTAAATTGTCTATAAATAGCTAAAAATGTTTTGAAAATTGTGTCGCGACAATTTTCTGTCGGAATTTCAACTCTCCACGAATGTTTTCAACTGAACTACAGCAAAAAGAAAATCGAAAATAATACATTTAGTAAACTATCCCGTTTTTCCCGATTACTATGATATCCGTTGCGAAAATTTAAAAAAAAAAATTTCCTCGAGGCACCATCGAAACCGAATTTTATTCCAGAAAAGGTGCTACACATGAAAATCGATACAAATTGTCTGGTTAGAAAAGTTGTTGGCATAAAAAAAAAATTTGACATCATTGTAAAACCAATACATTATATTCGCTTCGCTCAGAACCGAAAAAAATACACTCTTTAATATTCGATAGATTAATACGGGTTTGTTGTACCGAACAAGTAGGTAGGCAGGTGGGTTGGTAAATGAATAATTCGGAAAGTTTCTTAAGGTTATTCCTCGGCAACATTACCAATTTAAATATGTTTTTATTAAATTATTCGGCGGGGAATTGTGTGGATCGTCATTTGCTTGTGGGCCAACTCGGAGTAATAACTAAATAATATTGCGTTTAACCAATAACCAGTTCCCGAACATAATGCTTAATGGGGGGAAAAAAAATAAAAAATGAAAAAAAAAAAACGTTTTCATTATTATATTTTAATGGGATCGGCCAAGGCGTTCGAAATTTACTCGAATCGTGTGACGTTCGTACTTTTCGACGGACGCCATTGATTGATTGGACTTTTCCGCGGATGTACTGACCCGACACGTCCGTTTGAGGGGAAACGGCACGTCCGTTTTCACGGACGAACACGGCGTTCCGGACCGAAAAGCCAGACGAAACACGCAGGACGTTTGACGGATTTCGATTTTCGAATCTTATCGAACACGTTTCCGAAAGTTTCTTGGAAACGCTAGAATACGCAAAGGATTCACGTTAAATCGTTGTTTTTTTTTTTTTTTATTTATTATTATTATTGTTCAAACGTTTTTACGATTTCCGTCGGAACGAAAAAAAAAAATCACGTTTCTGACGACCCGAAGGAATAATCGGTTTCGACGGTGTTCCGTCAAATTTCTTTAGGGTTTCCCCTCCCCATCGCCGGCGTTTTCGCGTGTGTCCAAACCGCCCGGAACATGCCCGCGCCGTCATTGCTCCGATCCCCCGCGCTAATCGTAACGCGCGCGCGCGACCGTCGCGATGTTACGACTGCGCCGGGCGGAGTGAACGTCTCGGCGCGCCGTTCGCGTTGTTATTTGTTCGCGGTCTCCGCGGCGGACGTACGTTCGTACGCGCGCACGCGGTCACTGCGACGGCAGCGACGTCCCGGCGCAACGTCGCGCCCGTTCGACACGAAAAATTAAACGTAAACACGTTTCGCTTACGACGTCGGAAAGAAAGATAAAAAACAAAAAAAACAAAAAAAAAAAAAAACCACCGACCAAACAAACACAAATATTGTTTAACGCTCGTAACGAAAACAATACCGGTACACTGTGCGGCGCGGCCCCGGTTATCATATAAATGTGCGTTATTATAAAATAAACATTTTTTTTTTTTTTATACTCTACACGGAATTTCGTCGGTTCGCCGCCGCCGAACAATAATAATAATAATAATATAACGGGGTTACGTTATTTACCATCGTGGATATTACCGACGGTGTAAATATAATTATTTTTGCTTACGGGAGATTTCGTCCGTCCGACGTAGCAAAGACGGACGGAACGTAATAACGACAATAATAATTCGCCGCGTCGCATTCGTATCGTATTGTCGACGGCTATCGTATCGTTTCATCAAAGGGAACGTTGCGTTTGACGCGGTGACGGTGTCGCGTTCGGGGACGACCCGGACGGACGCAAACGTCGCGCCGTCGTCGTCGTTCGTTTCCACCGTTATGAACGAACGGATTGAAATGCGCCCCCGAGTGGAAAACAAAAAAAAAAAAACGAAACGAAACGAAAAGAGCCGGTGGCGGGTGCGCGGCCGTTGTGGACGGGAAGCCGGGCCGAGTAATGGGATACGGCGGTATACGGTCATTCGGTGCAACGATAGACGGCTGTTAACGAAATGCGATTCTGAGCGGAGTGCGTTATTGAAAATAAACGATTACGTTTGACCGAGTGACGACGAACAAATAATATTGAAAATAATGAAACCGTTATTCCCGTAAACATTCCCGTTTTCCCTGGTTTCGCGCGACCGTTAGAAAAACTGCGCGTAATAACAAAAAAAATAATTATTTTACTCGCCGAAATAAAGATTTTTCGATAAAAAAAAAAAAAAAAAAGAGAATCCAACTATTCTTTTTATTCAAGGGTGCCATTAAATGGGAGGGGGGGACGTATCAAGACCTGTTCCGGGGTATGGAAGAATTTATAGGGGGCCGTTGGTTGGGTGGATGATGGGCCTAATTAATCAATCCCGGCCTACCGGCGGAAAATCCACTTACCAGGCCATGCGCGTGCGGGTATAGCGTCCTCTTAAGTTGACGGTCGGAGGACGATTAGCGGTAAAACATTTTGTTTTTTTTTTTTTTTCACTAACAAAGCAAAAAACAACGTAATATAATATGAAACCGACACACTTTTCGCCTCGCTCGGAATCCAAACAACAGCTCGTGGCTCGCCGATTTTCTATCGGCACTTAGTTACGGGATGTTTAAACATCAATTGCGTTAGTTTGTTTGTAAAGTCCAATAAACGAATCATCGAAAAACAACATTATATTATTATTTAACAGATAAATTATAGAAATATACTTTGCCAAGCGTTTATCGCATCACTAAATTATCTGCAGTGCAACGAACATCACGGGTTCTACCGACTCGCATTTTATTTACCTAACCTCAATAAAGAATATTATAATATTTGTATACGTAATTGAATTTCAATAAAAAAAAAAAGAAAACGTTAGTGGTCTTTTAACATTGTAAAAATAAATTATCTTTTTAAATAACAAAATGTTCTTATCTTTGTTTTCATATTGGGGGGGGGGGAAACAAAAATACGTTTTCTAAAAGAAACGTCGTTTGTAATAAAATATATAATATTATACAAGCATAATATTACGGAAATAAGAAAATATTTGCACGAGAAAACGAATTGAAACAATAAAAGAGAGAAAAAACGTAATTTGGATCCGCCGATAGAAATATTGTTTAGTTGTAAAAACGCCCCACGGCGGACGTGGATAGTGGGTTTTGGGTTTTTTAGTTTAAACTCGATAATTATTTAAAATAAATTCAATGCGACCGAAAGATTTATTGTAAAAAATCATTTTAAAATGTCTACACGAAGAAATGATCCGCCGTATATTCTTTCGAATACGCCTCTGCGGCGAAAACCTTAATTCCACATTATTTTAAAAAAACCGTTTTGATTATGAGCCGAGTTAAGACATGAGGCTATTATTCAATTTAACTTTCTCTTTTTTTTCTTTTTTTTTTTGGAGGGGGTAGGGTTGCGTTACCGAGAACATGTCCAAAAAAAATGTTTGGATTTTTTAATAATAAAGCAAGAACGAAACTCAAATACCTATACGTACTGCACTATACTTTAGAGAAGTGATTTTTCGGATTTCTCATTAGTTCGGTTCGCTGAAAGCCGGCGAAATAGTAAAAAAAAAAAGTCGAAAAAAAATATCTTGCTCATCGTTTAATGTAAAAAAAAAAAAAAAAAAAACAAACATCTTAACCGATCGCGGTGATTATTTTTACTGCAAATAGCCTTTAGCCGTTTTTTTATTTTTTCTAAATTATCTTACGCCTATACCAAAATATTTATAATTTACTCGCAGAATATTAGGTATACGAAATTTTACAATTTGGTTTTTTTTTTTTAATACCAAAAATATTCAATGAAACTTAGACTAAGTTATTGGTCGATTTTGTCGTCGGGTTAATGCGACCAACAATGAATCGTGTTTGCGCGTATTAAATAGAAATTGTTTCGAAAATTAAAAAGATTTGTGTTCGAATATAATTCAATTGGTTTAGATTAGGAAACGTCGGGTTACCTACCTATTAAAACTTATAACAGGACTCTTCAAATGTAAACCATAATGTATTAGGCAAACTAAAAATTATCTTCTGAGCGCGGGTAGATAGGTGTTAATCATTCATTTGCATTGAGCAGCAATATCGATTATTTAACAGTTCTCAATATTAAAAAAAATAATAATAATAATAATAATAATAATTTTACTTTAATAATATCAGGTAATGGGTACCTACAGTATTATTTATGGTAATTCAATAATTTCATTCCGGCGATTTAGATAATTTTTGTTTTACACAATTTTATTATAGATACTTCACATAACTACTTATGGCAACTGAACGAACGTTTGTTTTCAAAATATTATCAAAGTAAACAGCATTAATGTATTACGAACACAGAAAACTAAAGGTATTTCGCAATACCGTAGTGAGTGTAGTGCTTGTGACAAATAATATTATTGACAAACGGGACAAACGGATGCACGGCGCCATCTCGTAGCGTGTTCGTACACTAGAATTTGGAATATCGTTCGTTAGAGGTCAAAATATACGAGAGTAGCGTAACGAAAACGTCGTTTTACTGTTTGTAAAGGAAATGTGTTTAATTTGATTTCATTTTGTACAATGGTTTTCAATGTGAATGTTTTTAATAATTAATATCGTGAATGTATTTTAAAACATTGCGAAAATTCGTTTTGGTAGAATATCATTTGCTAAGTTATCATAGTGTATGCAATTTAATTTCTCTTTTCACACTAACCGCGGTCCATTGGTTCACTAAGATCAAGATCATTACCGGGAGTGGTGCTTCTAGGATTTTTACAGCCGGGGTCAAAAAAATAAAATAAATAATACGCACCCTCCCGTTTTCACGGGTACACTCATACTTGAACATTTTCTGTATTCTCTTTATTCCGACTATGCGATTGCTATTTTCTCTGAAAATTACCACCTGAAATTTCGCTGCCCTTGAAATTGAGTTTTACTGCTCCCCCCCTCCACCATAAATCCGCCACTACGGTACTATAGGAATAATACGATTTTTTGTCGGAACACCCGTATTAACGGTTAATACTTAACTAATGAAATATAAACAGCATGGATAATTTTAAATAAATTTATTAAAATACACAAACAACAACTACGAGTAAAATTACCTCGAATTTATAAGTAATGATGTAAAAAACATTTACTTGCGTTTTACGTTCAATTCGGTTGTATGATTTATAAAAAAAAAACAAAAAACAAAATATAATAAATTGAATTAAATATTTCGAGTGCACTAAGTTAATATGTTTACTATTTCAATGGACACGATATTAATATTATTATTGTTATTAAATTTGAACGGACGTAGCCCATTCGGCTTCCGTTTTTCCCAAACGGCTTCTGTTTTACAGAAAAAGTGAATTTCCGGACGGTTCCCGGTTTTTACAGCGCAAATTCGTGCGAAATGTGCCATATCCATATCGCATATCCGGTTAAATTTCATAAACAAATTTGATCAAGTTCGATAGACTAGATAAAGTTCGTTTAAGGGGACGTTGTACCGGCACGTACTACTGTCTCAGTCCGACTGGCGGGTAACATAAAAAAAAAAACCAACGCTTACGCAGAAAAAGCAAAACGGGCGCTTGGTTTTGGTTTTAGAGCAAAAGTGCCCATTACGAAATTCATAGAGAACGATATTTTTGGGCGGGAATTTCGTGTGGGTTTTACGAATTACGAACTATTAAAACAGTAACAGTTATTTGAAAAAGAAAAAAATAAATAAATAACGGTTTTCGTGCCACTCGCGTCGAGCATTTCGTACGTTTCGAATAACGCGAAAACCCTATTTGTATCGCCTCGGAGGAAAAAAAAAACAAATTTGTCCCCCGTGAATTCCGCAACGGGTACTTTCGTTCCAAAACCAAAATCGAACCAGTTTTACATATTTTGCGCGAACGTCGTTTTTGCGCGTTGCCCGCGAGCCGGACCGACACGGCGCGCGCGCGGGCGCAACGTCTTTTTAACGGCGATTCGTACGCGCAATGTTTTCGGAAAACGTGAACTCCGGACACCGGCCGTATCAATTGGTTTAATAGAACGCGCCGTCGTTGAATGTACGGTGTGACGCGAACGGTTTTTTATAAGTTGTAATTTGTGTTGAAAAAAAAAAATTGAGTAATGTAGAACTTTTTTTTTTTTGATAAGAATTTTAGTATCAAATTTTAACGAAAATCGTAAATTTTACGGTCTTTTAAAACATGTATAACCGTTCATAATCGTTTTTCATTCGTAAAGATAAAATGTTACATCCAGGTTTAGGTTAAATTCTCATCTATCCTACCTCCCCCACTTCTCAACTACAACCCATCGGGCGAAGCATGTCCATATCATTTTTTATTTTTTTTTTTCAAATTTAAATCAATAGTTAGTTATTATATAATGTTTGAAAGCGGCGTGAGGTCGTGTGGGGAGCGAGCCACCCATTTCTGGCGCTCATTACTTGCGACTAGTCTCTAGGATTTTCGATATTTTTAAGATACCGTATAGGTAAAAAATATCGCCGTTTTGGCAAAAAAAAAAACTGCTTTTCCAATTCTTTCCTCGTACCTTTCGCACTGCACTGCGCGCGATTTCTCGAAAAGTTCAAAAACGGTTTGAAAACTTGTCCACGTCCATAAAAAGCAACAATACAATGTTTCTGTTTATATTTTAAGTATCTGCGAAAACTGTGAACTGTATTACGACGAGAAAACTAAATTGAAAACAATAAAAACGTTATTTACGTAAATTTTCCCGGGTTTTCCTGCGGTTTTTCCAATTATTTTGAAAATTGCTCAGAAATAAAAAGAAACGACCTCCCTAAATTGCCGTCCCGCGAAATTCCCTTGCAGAGCAAGATCTCCGGTAGTATTTTTTCACAAAATATAAAAAAAAAAAAATAAAGCCGTCTAATAAATGGGCGAGGGCGCGGCCACTGCCATTGGTAATTTACCCGTATACCTGTAAACAGCTATTAACCATTGCTAGCGAAAAAACGATTCCGAGCGGAGTTCGGTCGACAGCATTGCTTTGTCAACAATACATACGCCGTATTACGGTAAAATAATTACACGTACGTTCTCTTCGACCATATTCGTTTGGTATTGCACCCGATTTCCCGTTTTCGCTACTTTTTTCGCGATTTTTCCGATTTATCGGTGGGAAAATCAAAAAAAAAAACGCCCTCCCCCGAAGTACCTGCGCCCCGGTCAGATTTTCTCTCGGAAAAAGAGGTCATCGTTGTAATAAAACAAACCGTCAATTGTAAAACCCGCGGTGCGCCCCGTACGCTCCGCTCGGGATCCGAAACCGTGCGCCGTCGTAAGACCAGTGCGATATCGCTCCGCTCGGAATCCGAAATTGCATTATCGCCGTGACACATCGTCGGGATGTTTCACGGGAAATTCGCCGCGCGCAATGCGGACCCGTCGGACGGCGTCGGCGCCGATCCGGGACGACGCGCGAGGGACGTCGCGTCGCGCGCGCGTACGACACGTAATCCCGTTAAAGTGTCGACGGGGAGAAGTGGCCGCGGCGGCCGTGCGCGCGCCGAGGGCGGACGGACAATGGTTTGACAAGTTCATACATCTTCATCGCGGCCGGGCGAAACGCGAGCGCAAAAACCGGCTAATCGTGTCTACCGCCGAAGTTAAAAGTCCGAGTGATTAGCCCTGAAACAATGGCGCGGCGAGACGATTAATCATTCGGCACCGGGGACCGGGACGGCGCGCGGGGCAGCCGGGCCCGGGAAAAGACGGGGCGGAAAACGTTCTAGACGCGCGGACGTGGCGAGGAGGTCAAGTATAGAGGATATAGACTCATCATCATCATCATGGTCATCATCATCATCGCTGCCGCCGCTGCCGCCGCCGCCGCCGCCGCCGCCGCCGCCCCGGAAACGAGACCTGTCCTTAGGGAGTTAACACTTTGTTTACGGTGCGCGAGCCGACGCGTGAAACCGTACTGCGGCGGCGGTTCTTACGATTCCCACCCGCGGCACACTGTGGAATGCCTCGCGCGAAGCTATTCGGACTTGATTCGCCGCGCTCGGTTTTCCCGGATATGTTGTAATTATTACGGGGCGGGTTGGTTTTCTTTTTTCTTTTTGCACACTACGGCGGCACGCAACGCGCGAACGTCCGCCACGCAGTTCTTTTCGATATTTTCAACTTGTTTCCTATTTTTGTTTTTCTCTCGACACGATTACTGAGGATTAAGAATTTGACGCTGTTTTAATTTTTCAGTTTTTTTTTTTAAAAAAAAGCATGAAACGAAAGTACCTTAGAAATTAATTAAAAAAAAAAAAAAAAACCCTAATTATATTGAACAGAGCAAAAGTAATTTCGAGTGTATGATTTTCGTGTTATTACCTGTATATTTAATTATACGCAAACCGACAATAATCGGATCAAAAGTTTAATAATGCGGCTTAGAGTGTTTTCCGACTCGTGTGTATCACTTTGTTTTGCAGTTAGGGGGGCTTTTTAAGAGTAAAGTAATTTGACTTTGCTGTCTTATGGAGGGGGGAGGGAGAAATGGTTAGCTTAGATTAAGTATGATTGATGATTACAGATAGGTTAAAATATCGTACAGACGTGATTTTTAGTTTTTGTTAAAAATCGATCAACAAAGCATATTTAATTTTAAACATCTGATGGCTGTACATGCATTATGCATGTGTTTCGGGCAGTTATTGAAATAGGAAATTCGTATTTTATTCGTTTAATTTGCTAAAAAAAGGTATAGGAATAAATTAATCTGATATTTAAAATTCCAATGTCATGCATTAGCGAGTTAAAAAGTACATTAGGTATTAATAATAATTTACAATCAATTTGAATTAGAACGATTGCCGCGTCGTGTAAATAATATTTTTTTTTACTTTTTTACTTATATAATAATATTTGTGTGTGTGTATGTGTGTGTGTGTGTGGGGGGGGAGTTCCGAGGACAAAGTTCAAGATCGTTAGACGTAAATACGATAATCTTCACTATGACTGAGTGAAAATAAAATTTTTACAAAAAAACAAAAAAAAATGAAAAATACGTATCGAACTTAATTGTACACGATAAACCGTACAACTTTTAAATCGACTGAGTTGGCATCAATAATTGTCCGATAATAATTATTCGTATAATACCTTCTATAGATAAAAGTGACAAATTAATATTATTCACAGAAATCGTATATAGTTTGAAAAAATGTGTTTTTTTTTTTCTTCTAAAATTACAATATCTGTACGTATTCACACATGTACAATTTCCTTAATAGTACACTACAGCTAGCGTATCGGCTACATCGAATCGGACCGTTTATCGTTTTATCTATAAAGCGTTTTGTTACGCAAGGGACTTAGTTTTTTTTTTTTTTTTTTTAAGCGTAACGAGATGTGCGTATTGGTTTCACTACGATGTGAGCTCTTGTTTATATCTTTATTCTTGTGTCTGTGTGTACGACTGTTCTACCGGAAATCTTGCTTCGGCCAAAAAACGTCCAGCGAGATCGGTTTTAAATTTTTTTTTTTTTTAAGCATTTAGAACTCGTCGATGTCGGTTTTTATTTTTCTTGTAGTTTTCATAACAATTAGGAACAAACGGTTAAAAACGTAGAGGGAACACGTCCCAGATTTTACGGAAATAACGATTTCATTATTTTCGAGTTTTTTTTCTCTCTGATTTGATTAAAATTGTCTAGAAAAGGCTAGTTTAGGCTTTTTCTAATCGTATTTAAATTTTAAAACCATTCTGGCGATATTTGAGTTATTCATAGGCATTTATAATTACAAGTTTATTGTTAAGTTTTATTTGGTTTTGTGTGGATAAAATTTAAATGCTTGGCAATTTAAGAGGAGATTCACTAAAAGTTGTACTTAAAATGTAGTCGTAAAAAACACAGTCGACCTTAAAGTTGAAAATTTGACGAAAATCGTAAACAGCGTCTGAAAACCACGTTCAACCGTAATCCGCTCTGAATCGTATTTCGGCAGCGACGATATCGATCGAATAACTACGTGTATCCTATTGCTTCGACTTTACTACGACTTTCCGTTACCCGCAACAACGCCGCGCGCGCCCGTCAGCGGCATTAGCTCTTTTTTTTTTTAACACTAACGGGATGTGTTGTTTCCCACCCCCCTCATCAGTTTTTTTTTTTATAGGCAAAAAAATATTCGGGAAATTACGTGCGAATCGGCCGACGTTAATAACCGCCGCCGCGAAAGACTTGAATGGAAAACGCGCGAGGCCGACGACGACACCTATCCGTGCAGCACGGGTACCTACTACACGTACGCACACACGTACATGGGTACACGCGGGCAACTACGCGTACGCCGCCGCCGCCGCCGCCGGAGATTTTATGAATGGAATGTCCGTTCGTTTTGGTCGCCACTTCCGCCGCCGCCGCCTTTGGCCGGTCCGGCGCAACATCAGCCGTCAAATTACTATGATTACCGAAACGATGTCGGCGGCGGCGTGTGTTACGTCTTCGGCGTGTGCGTGTACGTGCGTGCGGGCGCGCGCGCGCGCGCGCGTGTGTGTGGAAACCGGCCGGCGGCGGCGGCGACAACGCCGCCCCGGGCTCTTCCGCGGCCCGGGCCCCGGACGAGACCGCTTATTATATCCATCAACCTCGATGACTTTGCATAATACCGTTGTTGTTGTTGTTATTATTATTATTATTACTATTGTTGTTATTAACGTATTCGTCGCGGTGAGCGCGAGTGCGCGCGCGTTATTGTGTATCGGCCGTGTTATTGAAAACCCGTACGCACATGGCTGGTGAATATTGCACGGCGGCGTGAGTCGCGGACGAGGGGGGGTGGGATGGGAAAGAGGAGATTACGCTTCCCCTTCGTCTGCGGTTTTCGGGGACCCGGCCTAAAAATACGACCGCAGGTACGGGCGTTTGCCGTCGCGGTGATTTGATCACGACATTTTGATTGAGCGTATCACGGCCGAGTTCCACGAGGAAAAAAAAACTCGATTTTTCACCGACGTGTTCGGATTTTATTAATTAATCGTTCTCGTTCGCCCCGTCGTCGGGCGGTGAAAATATTCGATTACGATTTCCTCGTGATAAACACTAACACCCACGCCCCCCCCCCCCCCCGTCAGTAAATCCCAGTTACGCCACTGTGATATTGGGTTCTGTGAACTGCGCCGCCTCTTCGGCGTCGGTGAAATATTTACGGGGCTTAGAGAAACGAATCGCCTCTCGGACTAATTATACGGGGGTTTTCAACTCGTGTCGGCCCAATGGAATTTCGAGCGGAATAATTCGGGATCGCGGACCCACTATTATTTGTATAGGTAGTACGACGGCAGTCGGTCAAATCGACGTGGCGAAAAACTCGAACGGTCCGGAATATTATTACCGGAATCGCGGACATCGGTTTGCGAGAAAAAAAGAAAAAAAGAAGAAAGTTCTCTCGTTCGGTAGTCGGTCGGCCAATTAATAAACTCGTCGGACGCCATCCTCGGACAAAGAAATGACTCCACTGCATTATGCACTACGCCCCTGCGTTTCGACGGGCATGATAACATTATTATCGAGAGACGAAATTCAACCCGACTCCTCGACTCGATCCGACAATGACTATCGGACCACCGGGGTATTATTATAGCGGCGTCTCATTTTTGACAGACGTTGAAACGTTATTGTGGTCGAGAGGAGAAAGAAAAAAGAAAAGAGACGGTCTCTTATAAACAATGTAAACGGTGATTATAATATTGTATTATTTAACACAATTATACTCGCGCGGTGTACCCGATCATTAAATATTATTCTGAAAATTATTTCCTTTGACCGTGTACAATAGACATTGTACGGCTGCAAGTACCGCGGGAATAATATTATATGTAATTAAATACTCAGAATCTAAAATCGACCCCGATCATTGCGAGATTCGGGTGTATCAGATTTGAGTAGGGTTCTAAAGGACAGGAGGAATAACGAATTTAAAATTTAAAAAAAAAAAAATGTTCAAACGATACGTCTGTGGATAATTATTATATGTCTTGTTTAATATATCGTAAAACTACAACTAAAAAAACAACTGATACCGGGGATGGGAGCGGCCGCTGTTGTAGGTGAGAAGTTGGGAAGATAGGATACATAAGGTTATTTCATTTAAATCTGCAAGTAACGATAAACCATTGCTGACGAAAGACGATTCCGAGCGCAGTTCGGTAATACATAAATTGAAGTGCCGTAATTTATTTTTACCCAACCTTCCAATGTTTTTTCCCGGTTATTATGAAAACTAATTCAAAAATAAAAAAAAACGAACTGCATCATTAAAAACTAGATTAATAATTCAACGAAAAAGGTCTCCTGTCGTTTTTCAATTGGAGCCATATTTGTGCTAGAAAACGTGGTAGGTACTTATTTAAAATAACGAAATGGTGGAAAAATCGTATTTTTTTTACCGGTTAATCATTTTTATTTTAAATATCGTTTCGAAAATCAAAAAATTACATATATTTCCCAAGAAGATAAAATTGACTTTCAGAAAAAGTGCTATACTTATACATCGGAGCAAGTTTTCTAGGATAAAAGTGGTCTACAACATATAAAAAAAATTAGAGTACCATTGTAAAAAAATTTAAAAAAAAAAAGGGAAAAAAAGTCGTCAAAATTATTTTGGAAACTTTACCACGTTTAGGTACGTCCAAAATAAGTATTTTTATCAAGTTTAAAGTCTCTACGTGTATTTGTAACCGAATTACAACAAAAACTCCGAAAAATTTAAATTTCTTAAAAGCTCAAAAGTGGCTCAAAAGTTTTAGCAATAATACAGTTAGAAATTAAATCAAAAAGCCAATGAAAAATACATTTCGTGATTTTTCGATTAAATCATTTTTTCTGGTAGAAAACGTCGTTCGTGTTTTTATAAAATAATGAAATCGTGAAATTGTACGTTTTCTTAAGTTTTTTCCCGTTTAAGTGCTTTTATTTAAAAAATGGCATCGAAAATTTAAAAAAATGACTTCTTTTAAGTGCAATCTAGACAACTTGAAAGTTGCGGTTCGTAAAGATCGGAGCAAGTTTACATACTTACATTACGAAAAAGCGTGTCTACAGACTAGAAAAAAGAAAAAGACGAAATAAACATCATTGTAAAACCAATAGGTCCCCTCGCTACGCTCGGAATCTAAAACAAAACAAAATGATAATAATTTTCTGATAAAACAATAATAATACACTGTGTACACACATTTATGTATACGAATATAATTATAATAAAATACTTTGCAATGATTAAAACGCCGTTTAAGGTTACGCCGAGGAAAATGAAAATTATATTTTAACGAAATTATTTCATTAAATATCATACGATATCGGTACGCATGCACACGCGTTTTGACGGGGCTAATTTATTTTAATACGAAAATTGGCTCCGAGTTCAATCAAGCAAACGAATAATCGCACGCGTTTAATTGTATTTACTGATACGTATCACCGTAAACAATGTCGTTATTATAGTGTTACGCCAGTATGGAATTTTCACGTTTGAAATATTGAAAAATGTCTTTTTTTTTTTTTCCTAAAGTATATTCTGGTAATCTGACGGCGTTTAGTTTGTGTAAGTTACCTCGTATAAGTTATAATTCTGCAACGTTATAATTCGGTTATACAGGAAAGCTCGAAATCTGTAGGAGGTAAATTGGGCAAAATATGCACAAAAAAAAAAAAAAAAATCGAAAATTTAAACCGATTTGAAACATTTTACAAGACTGTGTAGATGTTTTCAATTGATTGTTAAACATTATTATAATAAAAAGCTACGGGCTGCAGCTCAAGACCGTGCAGTGCTTTGAGCGCATCACGTTTGTCGTAGTTTTCTATTCGAGTTTTTAGTTTGAAAATAAATTGTATGACTTTTTTTTAAAAAAACCGGAATACTCACGCGGTTTAACGACATTTTTAGAACCCTTATTATTACCATAGGATTTAAATGCGTATAATTTATAAAATTCGTATATTTTTGAAATTTCGCGTGACGGAAAATATTCGCGAGAATCCGAGACTGTATATAATAGAAGAAGACTGCACGGGCGCATATATACTTAAAAAAAAAAAAAGTCTTATTTCAATTATTATAACGTCTCAATTTGGTTTTTCTAATATTATTTTTTTATTGTCCAGTAGCACGACTACACCATTACGATTTTTCTTTTAGAGTTAATGACTTATAATGATATATTATTATACCTACGCACCTCGGTCAGAAAATAAAATTACTGGATAAAAATAAATATTATTGTTCCTTTTATTATATTATAATTCGTGTTTCGTTTTGTGTACATAAAAGACACTGCTGTATTAAACAACTCTACTAAACAACGGATGTTTCCGTAACTTTCTTAATTTCGCGTATCGAAAATTCCATAATATACTAGCGGTCCCGCACGGCTTTGCATTTAACGAAAAGAAAAATGTATATATATATAAACACATAAAACCGTGTTTCCCCGTGACTCGCCGTTTCCATCACCGTTCCTGTCATCGCAGTACACCGATGTTGCCAGTAAATTTTAAAAAATTAATTTTATTACCCTTGACAACCAAAGTCACTAATAATAATGGTTAGGTATGTTCATCCGTGTCGCCAAGGTAACCTGTAGATCAACAGTTTCAATTTTCGTTCCAGTAACATTAAAATCTCTGTATCAGTCACTTTTAAGTGGTTGAATTCTAGTAAAAAAGTGAACAGTCACCTGTCTCCGGTCTTGGACGTCAAGTGTGCGAAATGTCGTCAAGATCGGAATAAAATTGTAGATTCGTATAGCGGATAAAGAAAGAAAGAAACACAAATTTTATCATTTTTATTTTAGGTTATGAGTGAAGCGAGGGATTTGTTTGTTTTACAATGATGTGTATTTTTTAACAACTTTTATTCTAGAAATTTTACTCCAATCAAAATATGACAAAAAAACCTTTTTGGTTGTATTTTGGTTCTAGTTGTTGCATTAAAAAGGGTTTTTTTTTAAAAAAATTTATTAATAATCGAGATAATGAGGAATAAATGGTTTTTAAGAACTCGTTTTTATTTATTTCAATCTTTTAATCTTTTTTAAACAATCGTTGTTATCACAAAAATGCATATTGTTTTTTTAAAGAATTGCTTAACCGAGCTTCGCTCAGAATCGTTGCTACCAGGTATAAATTAAATAATTTATGTATCCTACCTTTAAAACTACCTACTACACCCGTCCCCAGTATCAGCTCTTTTGCGTGTGTGTCTGTAAACATCTATTTTGATAAATAGTGTAACGAAACAACTTTTTTGGAATAATTCACACATAGTTTGCGAATGTAAATTGAGTCTAATAACATTTGTAGCTGAAGCTTCAAAAATAAATTTTTAAAAAAAAATACAACTTTTTTATTAACGATATTTTTAAAATGTGGCCCGTTTCAAACGGGGAATATTAATACGCGTCCAGATGCTGCGCTACGTTAATACAGGTAAACAGCAAGAAGTATCGAAGTTTCTCAAATATTTTTTATATATATATATATATATATAAATGTAAAAATAAAAAAAAAAACTCAATAGTACCTAGTATGTACTCTCGGTAATATAACATTATATATTATATTATTATTTTATTAGTTGTTTATAAACACTGCAGTGTGTGTCTCGAAAAATTTGCGGCCACGCATCCATGGCCGAACCTAATGTAGATTGACAGATCGTATCGGTAGCTTCTGAGTCGTATATTATGATTAGTACATTATTACGTTACACTCATGAGGGACACGGAATCGTGGTGGTGGAGTACATGTTAATTTCACACTACATTTTCACGCCGACTTAACCGGTCACAGCTTTGACGAACGCCGACAAATGAATCGAGTATAGGTATATAATAATAATATTTTTCATAAAAATTAGATAGGTAGGTATTCCGATGGATCGAGAATACCCGTGTATATACATACACACACACACACACACACACATACATACATACGTACGTACATACATATATGGAGTTTCTAATATTTTAAATGCGCGTTACTACAATGTCGTATTAATCGTGTACAAAATTGTCTAAATATTAACCTGGGCCTAACTTTACCTTGAAACAAATTTCCTTTTACTTTTCTTTTTGAAAAAACGGTTGGAAATTAGAATGTCCGTGTGTATAAATTAATAATGCAAAGAACTCAATAACTATTCTTGTACTTACAATTACCATCACGGGACGTTTTTATATTTTTCCAATAAATAAATGCGAAAACTATAACTCACCTGAAACAAAAAAAAAAAAAAAATTAGTAAAATTCAAGTAAATTGTCGAGAAATTTAATACTACTGTGGGAAACTATAAGTAACGAATCAGATTAAAGCAGATAAACAGGAAATATATAAATAAAATACACACAACTAATCACAAGAATATAAAATATTATTATTCGAACACTACTTCGTATGGGTATTGTGAGTTTCGAAGGCGGTAATGTGTAATTCACTTTCAAAACCATTCTGACGATAATAATAGTCGTACGATAAATGTTGCGTTATTAACTACTATTACCTATGCATTAATTATTTACGTTTACATATTTAACATGCTATAGTTAGTTATAAACTTATAATTAATATTATAATATTCTATTCGTAATTATTTGTATAATTCAATATTGAATTATTGCGTTGACCCTATTAGAATATCGTGAAAAACTTCTATGGGACCTTATCGTGACACAATATTATGTTACCTCTCGAATTCTTACTGTATATTTATAACGTTACCGTCAAATCAATATACAGTTATCAATAAATTTCAATTTGTATTACACTCCGTATCTGTAATTTGTTATTACCTAATAATACTAAACGCACGTATTAAAACACACCTATACTTACTATAGCTGTGATTTCATTATCGATTAAAATAATATTACTGTGCGGCAAATCGGTGCAAATAACTTCGTGATTAATACGTAAGCGGTGTTCGAAGTGTAATATATTCATAATAACACGCAGATGAGAGTGCACAAATAAAATCAGGCTAGTCATCTTTGATTAAATTCGAGAAAAATCGGGTTTTTAATTTTGACACTTGATACATTCTTCTTTTTTAATTTTTTTTACAAATTTATTAAAATTCGAATTGAGTTAGATTATTAAGTTTGAGACGTAACGGAATAACACGTAAGGACAGATCAACATGGGAAAATCGTGAAAACTCTCATACTATATATGGGGGGGGGAGGGGGAGAAAAAAACAGACGAGTCATATGACGAATATTCGACCTATTTGTGCCGCTTATAAAACGCGTAGAAAATCGACTTTCCGGGTACGCTTCATACATAATATCGGCTATCCAGTTCAAGATTATAACCACTCAAAAGCGAGTTAACTACACCATATTTTTTTTTCTCTTTTTCAGAACAATTTCAATTCATGAACACAATAAAAATAAGTCAAATTATTGAACACTAAACCGCTCTTTTATTTCGAATATCAAATTTGAATTAACAAATCCAGTTCTAAAGTGGATCAAATAGACTTATAGCAATTAATTCGTGTAATTATATAATAGTAGTAATCTTTACAGGTTAGGTTCGGTTATACCGAGCATTTTATTCGTACGTAATTTATTTCGTGTTTTATATTTTACTAAACATTCGTTACATTTTTAAATCGCGTCCCTGAAAAAAAAAAATAAATACTTTTACGAGTTGTTGCATTCTTAAACTGGATACATCGATAATATAGTTTTGTTTTCATAAATCGATTATTTTACCTTCAAACATCGATTGCCATCCCTAATTTCAGTGCGTTATTCGAGTGAACACGCGTAGTAAGAACAATACGCGACATTAACGCGAAATACGTGAATATACGTGCAGGCGCACGTGAATAATTACGCGCGTGCGCGGACATTTCGAGTACACGGTTTTATAGATTCGAAATTTCACGCGAATACGTGAAAGCGCGTACACGTGAAGCAGAGAGCTCTAGTAAAAGTTTTTCACGGGCGCATCGTTCGTATTATCTCATAATATTATATTTACTTTCGGCGCGATTAAAATACGTATAACACCGCATTAATTCATTCATTATTTATAAATTAATATTTAATATTATAATATGATTGGCGTGGTATAAAGAAATTACTATTCCGTGTAATAATATTAATAATATAATAACCGTCCTAATTTATTGTATGGAAATAATTCGAAATGTTGCCGCATTATCGCGGTTCGATTGAAAACATAATAATATAATAATATCATATATATACATATATATATAACGTACGTGTAATATATTATATTCGATTTTATTAAATGACGATGTGATTTTAACACTTCACGAACACGTGCAATAATATACGACAATGTGTGTGTGTGCGATGACATTGAAAAGAAAAACATTAAAGACAGAAAGGAATATGAAAAAAAAAAAAAAAAAAAAAAAAACTTTGAAGATTATTTAATGTGTATAATATATCGTCGTAAATGCATAGCGCACATATATACGCGCTGCTGCAGTACACATATTTGTATTATTATTATTATTATTATTATACCAGTCGTCTCGTATATAAATGGCAATTTAAAATTATGAAACCGCTTGTTTTTTATCCCCCCGTTTTTTTTTTTTCTTTTTCTTAAAATCTCTATACGTACAATACACAAACACTTATCGCCGTCAACGCGTCCGCGATATAATAATATTATTGTTCATGTTGGTTTTCTCCGAACGGCCATTGCAATTCCTCCCGTATGCGATAATTATATTTTCAGGTGTAAGTGAAAATCGCGGTATACCGAAGGGGTAAAAAAAAAAAAAATAAGAATAAATTAATAATAATAATGATAATACGAATATACACATATTATCATACCCGTTGCCAGCAGCTATACGACCGTACGTACAGGTACACTGCACCGAGATGCCGATGGTATGGCCGGTCACGTCCAGACCGAACTGTCATCACACCTGGCTGACCAGTGACCGTCGTGGTACCGGGTATATAATGCAAGTGTATTCTCGCGACATCCCGCAGTCAATGGACTATTATTATAAAATGCGTATAAAACAGAGTGGGCGTGTTGCTAAAACCGTATACCGCGACCGGCGACCAATGGCCGATGTTAGGTCACCGGATATATAACGATATTACTACAGGTACACATAAATTATGGTGTGTACCTGCGGTTTTGTAACGAAATGCGATTTTCCTTTTCCATACAAAACGTAACTCGAAGTTTGAAAATAACTCGCGCGCGATAAGTCACTGTTAAAATACACATACATAGGACATGCGTGAAACGACAATTTGTCAAGAACCCGTCAACTCTCATAGATCGGCGGCAGCCGGTAACGCCCAAGTATACAAATCCGTGGCGCGCAGCCGTCCGTCACCAGTGGCGC